TTTTTTTTTTTTCTAATTCATTATGATTTATCTATTTTACAGTGTGTGATACTCTTGATTTCCAAATGTTGTTTAAAGAAAAATGATACATCATACATGGTGATTGATTGCAAATTTGATGTAGCAATAAACTAGAAGTTCATTCATGTTCGAGGAGATTTGCATCTGGTAGGGAAGTCGTGGCCAAAATCCGGTTTCGGGTCGCATACCATAAGACCTTGAACTGGCCCAAACTGCCCGTTCCGGCGATATCGGGCCTATTTCTTGATTTTTTTTTTTTTATTTTTTTCCCTGACGGAGACTCGTCGGGTCTGGGTCAACCCGACGGGTCGTGTGGGTTGGGCAGATGCTGGCCGTTGGACCTCAACGGTCAAATGAACCAACGACACTATTTAGAAATGTGGCCGTTGAGCGACTCGGAACTGGGTCTTGACTCGACCCGGTATTTTCTTAAAAAATAAATAGATAAAAAGTCAAAAATATAGGCCCCGTTTTTCGACCTGAAATCGGCGGGCTAAAAAAAAGGACCCAAAATTGGCCCGCTTGTAGCACGGGTTCAATCAATGATCCATAGATACGGGTTGGTTCCGAGCCGATCCGGCGGTCCGGGCGGACCCTGGCCATGTGTAGTAGAGGCCTAGAGGGAAGAGGCCTAGAGGGTGTAAATTCCGGCTTTCAATTCTTGAGTAATGCTTCCCTATCCACGGTGGGCACATGTTAATATGTCCACCGCTTATGTGGTATGCACACATTGGTGATGTATTTTTTTAAATATATTAACATCACCAATGTGTGCACACATAAGCGGTGAGCATATTAACATGTGCCCACCGTGGGTAGGTGAGCATTTCTATTCAATTCCTCCACCTCTTCTTCTTATTTTTTATATAAAAAAAGTGTTAAATATTATAGTTTCTTTTTCTTTTTTTTGTTAAAAAAACTGATAAACTTTTCAACAAGTTTTATTGTCATGCATATAACTTGATGTCTCGAGTTTGAATAATACTCGTGCTTGGGTTTTAAACTTTTAATCTTTATCGAACCAAGGCGTACTAAGTTCATTTATATTTATTAATGACATGGCTATAAAAGAGCCGAGCTCGAGCTCGAGTTCGAGCTTGTTTATCAATATTAATGAGCTGAGTTCAAGTCGATCTCGAGCTTTAATGAACCGAACTATCGAAAATTACATATGTATTTTTTTCAGGTCTTATTGTACTGAGCCGAGCATGGCTCGTCAACGAAACGAGCTTTAAGTGAGCTCTAACTATGCTTGTTTATCAAACGAGTCGAGTCGAACTCGAGCATTAACTAGTCGAGCTGAGTCGAGCTCACTAGCGACTTGTCTGGTTTTAACAACTCTTATGAGCCATATTCAAGTTTTAACTAATTGAACTTTAGCATTAATGAGCCGAATAATAAAAAACAACATAAAAAATCTTATTTCGACTTTGAGCGTTAACAAGTAAAGCTAAATTTTAGAGCAACTCATTTTATTTAACAACTCTACCTCTAATTAAAGTTGTGTTCACAAATAATAAAAACAAACCACGACAATCGGATATGATTTCAACAATAAAAGATCACTCAAAACTCAAATTTAACTAAATTTTAACCCAACTTCACTATCTCAAATATTATCAATATAATTATATAACATCAAACAATCATTTTTACACATAACATCAACTTTAATTCACTATTCATCCACTCACATAATTTTAACCAATCATCATTTCTAATAATTTTTATCCCACTTAATATCAAATCAACTTTAATTATTTTATTTAAATATTATTAATATTCACTAACAACTAACCATACTACATTTTTTCAAAATTAACTATAATTAAGAAAAATCAAATAAAAATTAGTTGAATCCATAAACAATCACACCCTAAAAACTCAATTAAAGAAGGTTGCAAGGATTTAGGGTATGTTTGGTAAGCCAAATAAGCTAGCTTGTAGCTTATTTGATTAACTTATAAGCTCCTTATATTAAGGCTATGTTTGGTAGACCAATAAGCTAGCTTATGGCTTATTTAATTAGCTTATAAGCTCACTGTATTTAAGGGTATGTTTGGTAAACCAAATAAGCTAGATTATAGCTTATTTGGTTAGCTTATAAGCTTCTTGTATTTAAATAGTCCCGTTTGGTAGGACGAGCTTATTTAAAAAGCTCGAGCTTATTTGATAAGCTTGTTTAGGTAGCTTTTCAAATAAGCTAGTTCAATTTTTTATTTCAGCTAGCTTATCAGCTCATTTTACCAAACACTTTTACCATATATGCTAGCTTTTCAGCTATAAGTCATAAGCTATAAGCTATAAGCTCAAAAATTACGGGTATGTTTGGTATGACATATAAGCTAGCTTATAGCTTATTTGATTAGCTTATAAGCTTCCTGTATTAAATAAGCCCTGTTTGGTAGGACGAGCTTATTTAAAAAGCTCGAGCTTATTTGATAAGCTTGTTTAGGTAGCGTTTCAAAATAAGCTCGTTGAATTTTTTATTTCAGCTAGCTTATAAGCTACTTTTACCAAACACTTTTATCATATAAGCTAGCTTATAAGCTATAAGTCATAAGCTATAAGCTATAAGCTAGCTTATCACATATAAACTATCAGCTAGCTTATCAGCTATCAGCTAGCTTATCAGCTAGTTTTACCAAACACACCCTACATATAAGCTATAAGCTAGCTTATCAGCTATCAGCTAGCTTATCAGCTAGTTTTACCAAACATAGCCTAAATAAGTCTCGTTTGGTAGGACGAGCTTATTTAAAAAGCTCGAGCTTATTTGATAAGCTTCATTAGGTAACTTTTCAAATAAACTAGTTGAATTTTTATTTCAGCTAGCTTATCAGTTAATTTTACCAAACACTTTGATCATATAAGCTAGCTTATCAGCTATAAGTCATAAGCTATAAGCTAAAAAATTACCGATAAACTATAAGCTAGCTTATTAGCTATCAGCTAATTTTACCAAACATAGCATAAAATAAGCCTCGTTTGATAGGACGAGCTTTTTTAAAAAGCTCGAGCTTATCCCATAAGCTACTTTAGGTAGATTTTCAAATAAGCTAGTTGAATTTTTATATTTCAACTAGCTTAACAGCTAATTTACCAAACACTTTTATCATATAAGCTAACTTTTCAACTATAAGTCATAAGCTATAAGCTATAAGCTCAAAAATTACATATAAGCTATAAGCTAGTTTATCAGTTATCAGCTAGCTTATCAGCTAGTTTTACCAAACATACCCTTAACCATTTAATGAATTTTAACCTACTAATCTTCCACATTTTTACCAAAATTGCCCCTTAAACCTAAAACCCTTTCCCCCAAAATCAAGCCTCTCCCCTAAACCCTTCTTCCCCATCGTTCCAAGAAATCTGCACACTCCCAAGATGAGCTTGGTTGCCGGCTCGTACGAGCGCTTCATTTGGGGCTACAAGCTGAAATCCCGAAAAGACCTCTCATACCTCTCCCTGACCCCTCTCTTCTCCTTCCCCTCCCACCTCTCCACCATCAAAGCCGTCGCCGTCTCGGGGTCCGCCGCCGTATCCGGCGGCAACGACGACACCATTAAAATCTACGATCTATCTTCCTCCACCGAGATCGGGTCCCTCCAGCACTCCTCCTCCGTCACCTCCCTCTCCTTCTACTCGCCGCCGTCCCTCTCCTCCTTCCCCCGCAACTTACTCGCCGGAGACGCCGAGGGCTCGCTCTCCATCTACGATGCGGACCCCTTCGTGCACCTCAAGACCGTAAAGATTCACAAGAAGTCGGTGAATTCGCTGTCCGTGCACCCGTCGGGGAAGCTGGCGCTGAGTGTCGGCCACGACGAGTGCCTGGCGATGGTGAATTTGGTGAGGGGGAGGCGCAGTTTTTACTGCAAGCTGAGCAAGGAGGCTTCGATTGTTCAATTTGATGAGACGGGCGCGAAGTTTTTCATGGTGTTGGATGAAAAAGTTGGTGTTCATGAAGCTGAGGACGCCCGGTTAATTTTCGAGCTAGACAGTAAGAAGAAAGTGCTCTGTGCTGCTCATGGCAAGGTACTAAGTTCTCTATCTCATTTTTATTTTCTTTTTTTTTTTTCCTCAAGATTGTTTATTTTCTTTGCTTTTGAGTGTGCTTTTGGACTATGGTGATGCTAGTTATTATGTTCCCTTTTGTTAGGAACTCAATTATTTGATCAATTAGCAGCAATGTGGCAGCAATGCAGAGCCGAGTATATTCGATCAGCACAAATTCTATCATACTTATTTAGAAAATGCATACTTATGCTTCGAAATGTATTTAAGTGATATTTGTGAGCAGTCTCAGAACACAGTCCCTTCTATGGAGATTTGGTGAACATATTGATTGAATGCAAAAAAAAAAAAAAAAA